CCTAGCAGCACAGCCTTGACCTGAGTGACCCTGCTGCTTAGTTACCTTCTGTGACAGAAACCGAAGCTTCTGAACTGTGTCCTGAGAGCTGGCGTTTCAGTAAGCTGCAGTGAGATTGTATTTCTCAGAAAGTTACATGTTCACTTTTTATCTCTAAGTCAGTTGTCTTCATTGAAGATTCTGGACTTTATGGATGAGATTCAGAAGTGGTTTAGGAGAAAGCAAAGATACTTCTCTGCCCTTTATTTAAATAAAACTAATAACAGAAATAAAATGTAGGAAGCTTCATGTTAGCCTTCCTAACACCACTGAGCGTGAGGTAACACTGGATACCTCATCCCTGGATCCGTGTTTCAACAAGCTGTCAGTGCGTGTCTGAACCAAGCCAATGCTGAAGAGTAAATACTACCAAGTAGTCACCAGACAGCAATCTTCCCATTTAAAATGGATGAATGAGTGAATGAATGAATGAATGAGTGAATACATAGGTAAATATGACCCTTCCTTGTTGATCAGAACTCCTATACTTACTCACTGAAAAGCTGGAGAAACATTCTGACACCCCAGGAAGTGGTGACGTAAGGGGGACCAAGCAGTGGGCTGATTTCAGGTGGTGGATGTCCACTTCTTGGGGAGCTTGGGTGTCTGTCTCCTCTCATTCAGCCTCCGGCTTTTCTTGAGCCTTCTTTCAGGTAAATTGGTGTTTTAGTGATGGGCCCCAGAGATATGTCGTGCTCTTCCTGATTCAGCCAGCATAGACTGGGCTGTGCTATGATAAAAACAATCTCTGTGCGGGGGTGCAGGGGTGATACCAGGAAGTGCCTTACCGTATAAGCAGGAAGACCTGAGTTCAGTTCCCAGGATCTCTAGACTGGGAAGAAACAAGCAGATCTTTGGGGCTCCCTGGCAGTTCACCTGTTGCACCCAGCAATGCTCAGGTCCTGGCGAGAGACCCTGCCTCAAAAACCAAGGTGGACAGCTCTTGACCGACACCTGAGGTTGGGCTCTGGCCTCCACCCACATGCATGTATCCACTCGTGCACATATCCACACACGAAAGCATCTTCCAACTCCATGCCTTGACGATTTAGTCTTCACTCATGCAGGATCCATGGAGTCAAGCTGATCTCTTGGGAAGCTCCCTCCATGAGCTCCATAACGGCATTTCAGCGTGCTTTGTCCCTGAGGCCCCACCAAGGCCACAGGTTCCGAGACTTCCCTACAGACTGGCCTAGAGAGTTGAACATGTGAGATTAAATGCCTGGATATGAACCCGTTCTTTTGTCCACCCACAAGTTACATGGATGTCTAACTTCAAGGAGGTGAAGTATAATCCTCACCTACAGAAGCAGATGATACTGACCATTGGTGAACACTAGTAATGTGTTCCTGGGACCATCCAGGCTAAAGTGTCCAGGTGTGTGTTCCCAGTTTTCGAAAGGCTTAGGGGCACTTTGTCATTGCAATTCATAGAACAAGAGTGACCATGGGAGAGTCCTGGGTATCAACAGGCAGCCAGTCACTTAGCAAGTTACCCCTTAGCTCTGATTTCTCATGGGTTGGGTGGTGGCCATCATTTCTGCCATGTAAGAATTGTGCTTTGGTGCCTGACACACAACCAACTGCAAACTGAAGGCACTGTTCCCACTCAGATAATACATTCACAGACTTGCTGTGCTTTTCAACTCCTGCTGTTAGTACCAAGGGGACTCTATTTATACAGAAGTCCAATTACCAGATTCGTAAATCACCCCTGGCCCCTTCACCATGGGCATATCTCTGGGTTTCTCTCTTAGTAGAGCCTATGAGGGCAGGCGCTCCTGAACCCACAGTGTGCAAACAGAAGCTAAATGAGCCTGTCAATAATAATAATAATATAATAATAATAAATACTCACCTTTTTAGTGCCAACAACTGCTTGTTAGAGTTGATTATGAGATTAGAGATAATCTGAATATTTTAAGCAGTTTTTCAATACATCATCTCATCAGACAAAATGGTTTTCAATATCTTCTTCCACAGCCCAGACGTGCCATGGTGGTGTGGGGCAGCGCCCCTGTACACAGTGCAGAGCACCAATCCAGCCATGTAGTCAGATCTGCTTCACAGCTGGGATGACAAGCCTGCACGCTGCTGTCTTCACAAGGGGCTAGCACTTGCCGCCCACACTGTTGAGGGGGGAATGATAAATATGCCAGCACCTGGTACAGGCTCTCCAAGCCATGCCACTGGCTGTTGTCACCGAAGCATACTGGCTACCCAGCCCTGAGGAAGCCACTGGGAGGTTAATGAGAGCTTTATTGAGGCATAGTCTCAGTTCTATTCTAACATGTAAGTGCAGTTAGACCTAGCTCCCTGAGTGTCCCATAGATACTTGTAATAATTTCCCAGTTGTCTGTGACACCCATTTGAGCACTGTGACATCATAGTGAGTACTTGAGCACGAGAGCAGCAGGAATTCATGACAAGGTTCCGGAGTGGAAGACTCTTTACTCCAGAGAATACCGTTTAGACCTTAATCCCTGCACAGAGCATGTGTACGTGCACAAACCAGCCCCCCCCCCCACACACACACACCAAGGTTTCCAGGAAACAGCCTGTAGCTGCACACAGAGGCCTTGGTTCTGAGGGTGACTCTGCAACCCATAGCATGAAAAGTTTACTCTCTGGTCAAAGGAACGAGGGAGGAGCGAGCTACATGGAGGAGATGCAGAGGTTTGCTTTGGAGTAACGTGACAAGAGTGAGCATTCATCAACTTCTGGGGCTGAGGGAAAGTTCCATGCACGAGCTGTATTTATGTCCAGATTTCATATACTCAATCCTTTAATCTTCCAAGGGCATCTTTAAACAGGGGAATAACCCATTGACCTTTGTATGACCTTCACTGATACATACTCAATATAGATACATATTCGATATAGATATGATACAAGCTCGGAACCCAGTGGAGCCCCATGTTTGAAGCAACTTGAGAATGTATTTATTGCATAATTGTGGACTCTGGGTTTCCATCTCCTTGGTGTCCTCCCTGTCCTGACTGTCCCACATCTGAGCCTGTATCCTATTACTACTGGCTGTTTGTCACATGTGGTTCCTTCTAATGACTCATGTATGACTCAGGAACAAACAGTAATACAATACTTGAGGACTGGAAGGCAGACTAACAGGTGAATAGAGCAGCCCCCCCCCAATCCCAGGGTGCTTCCTAGCCTCTCTGTTCCTAGCAGCTGACCAGGGGTATCACCGATGGGAGAGTGGAAAACAAGCGTGCTCCTCCTTACACTACACAGTTGTAAAAGACATAAGCCAGAAAGACAGAAGGAACAGCAGACTGCAAACTGTGGCCAGGGAAGCATTGGGTTTCAACTCCAAACACCTATGCAGATATAGATTCAGGGTATACAGTGGGCTGTGAATGGCATGTTTGACAGGGCTCTTTATGTGACTCCTGGCTAGTCAGCCTGTGAGTTACCCCTGCCTGGCACCAATTGCAAACAGTAGTCACAGCAACTGTGACCACAAAAACTCCTCCCCAGTTCTAGTCCCTCTCCAGGGACTGTTAGTGGAGAACCTCTCATGTAGGCTTATCATGATACAGCCCAGAAAAGCGTTAGGTAAGGACAGTGCCCATGTGTATATTCAAGATCAGCCTCTGGCTGGCAGGTTTCTGTGGGCAATGGAATCATGTTTGCCTAACACAAGAAAGAGACTGGGAAATATGGTGTTATTGAGGCTCGATGGTTGAGTGATTGCCTGGCTATGCAAAGATTAGCAAATGGGTGTAAAGAATCCAGATGGCTGACCTACAGATTCCAGAAAATAGTGAGAATGGTCACAGCAATAAGGCCATGCTTTTAGTAAACATTCGTGGTGTTTCCATCCATGAGAGCTTAGCGTCTGGAATACAACACACATGTCTGAATAGTGCTACAGTGATCACAGCCTTCCCAGATTGAGTACTCACCATGTGTTGGGGGTCTGTGCTTTGTGTACATGCCTCCTGTGTCCACACAACTCTTCAGGCAGGTAATTACTATCCTTTCTGCATGTATAGGTGCTGGTAAGAGAGGAAGGGGGGCGGGGGTTGGGGCTGGGATTTCAGCAGAGGTCTGTCTGACACTGAAGTCATGTCACCAAATGTATGATTTGAACTAGTCTAGAATTTACAAATACTGAAAAAGATGTAAACCCTGAGTTTGGCAATAGGATAAAGACTTAGCCTCCATTTGAAGTGAATACATATCAGCAACAAAAAAGAAAAAGTACCTGTGTCTCCAATAGCCTTTCCCAGAAATGATGTGTTGGAGAGTCCTGGGAACTCTGTGAACCCGCTCAGCACTTGAGTCCAGAGGAACATGAGATGGGGTCAGCCTGTGCCACTGTCCTGCTACCGAGACCCCTACACGGCAGCATCACACACAGAAGGACAGGCTGAGTGTGGACCTCCCACGCCAGCGATTCCCTCCACACAGCTCAGCACTACATGGTGTGACCTGTCTGTCCCTCCTTGACTCTGACTCAAATCGCCTTTTACCGACAAACTTTCAATGTAGGCTTTCCACACTGGATCATAAGATTCTAGAATATCTGTCATTAGTTTTTTTCTCTACTGTCCCTCCAGTTCTAACACTCTGACTTTGAATGGCCGGAGTTTAATCATGTATTTAGATGGACATTTTACTGCCCGCTGCACGCTTATAAGTGAAAGCCACTATGCATCCCAGTCTTCTGATACACACCCTGGGGGTCTGCTGATTCAGACACGTTGCCTTCTAGATCAAGGGCGATAGTGTCTGTTACTTAGTTGGTGGATTCACACTGGGAAGAACAGGTGTCATGTTACTGTGCTGAATGTGGTCCTCAGAGTCCCTGGCCTGTCATTTCCTCTGTGCCCATGAGGGGTGGGGTGTCTCCACTCAGTGAAGACTCTGCCTCATGGGGCTTCATCTGCCCCTCCCTTCTGACAGTTGATGTTTTATTTTATTTTTTTTTCTTCCAGATGAAGGATTTTCGAAATAAGATGCAATCCATATTTCCACCAATTCCCAAGAACCCTGAACCAGCCAGCGAGTGGGAGGAAGTGTTGAAGTGGAAGTGACACGGGCACGGGCCACTCCAGAGCAACGGCTGCACGAATGGCAGCTTTGGAAATGCCAATCTGAGAAAGGGCTGGGGGGCTCCTCTCTAGGAACATGTGCCGATGGCGGGCAACCCCACAAGCCGCAGCATCTCTGTGTCTGTAGCTGTGGCACACAGAGGAAATGCTTTCCGAAAGCCAAGACAACAATTTAATTACCTAGAGGTTCCTCGAGGAAGGGTCCAGGAGGAAGTGTTTCTGTTTAGAACAATGAACCATGTTTTATAGTCACAAACAAAAAGTAAGATAGGAATCTCTGTAAGGGCTGGAGACATCTCCGTGGCTAAGGGTGCACACTGCTCTGGAAGAGGACTCCAGTTCGTTTCCCAGCCCCCCTTTTCGGTGCCTCAGAACCACCTGTGCCTGTGACTCCAGGGGACCTGAAGTCTTGTCGGGATTCTGTGCGCACCTGCCCTCACATGTGTCTACAGCCACAAAAGTATACACAATTAAAAACTAAAAGTCTTGTTTTGAAAACTCAGCAGGGTGTGTGTGTCTCCGTGTGTGTCTCTGTGTGTGTACCAATGTTTGTAAGTAAGAGAAGTAGAGACGAGGTCATGAATTTGAACGTGGATAAGAGTAGACACTGAAGGAGCTGGAGTGTGGAGAGGAAGGGTGTAAGTGGGGGAAATACAGTACCCATACATGAAATTCTCAAAAAAAAAAATTAGTAACAAAAAATATAAGCAGACTCCTAACAGTGTATATATCTCAGTTTATCTAATTAAATGAATTTTAAGGCCTATCTTATTTGCATATGACTAAGACTTTGGAAGGTATGTTCCTATTGGCCAGCCTCCAAAGTGGTGAACCCAGTCCTGGAAAGGGGTGCCACTTGTCCTGAACAAGATGACTGGAAGCTAGTACACAGGTGCTGAGGGCCTCCCTTGAAGGACTCGTAAATTCTTACACACGGGACAAAAAGCCAGAAACAGATGGGTCCCCATCTCTGCTCAGAAGAGAAGACTTGGGCTGAAATGACAATGATGACATCATGGCTGTAAAATGTGCTTGGTGGGGAGAGACTGGCTCTAACCCTGACTGAGTTGATAGTTTTGTCTCAGCAGTGAAAGTAAACACAGTGTAATTGCTACCTATCGAAATATATTTTTTTAATTATTTATTTACATTTCAATTATTCCTCTTCCTGGCCCCCTCCCCGAGCCCTACTCCCCTTCTCCTCTAAGAGGGTACTCACCTAACCACCCACTCCCACCTCACCCCTCTAGCATCCCCCTTCTCTGGGGCATCGAGCCTCCACAGGACCAAGCACAACCCCTCCCACTGAGGCCAGACAAAGCAGTCCTCTGCTGCATATGTAGCAGGAACCACCGGCCCATGTGTACTCTTTGGTGGTTTAGTCCCTGGGAGCTCTGAGGAGTCTGGTTAGTTGATACTGTTGTTCTTCCTATGGGGTTGCAATCCCCTTCAGTCCTTCCCCTGATTTCCATAGGGGTCCCCAGACTCAGTCCAATGATTGGCTGTGAGTATCTGCATCTGTCTCAGTCGGGTGCTGGTAGAGCCTCTCAGTGGACAGCCATGCAGGCTTCTGTCTGCAAGCACATCTTGGCATCAGCAATAGTATTAGGGTTTGGTGTCTGCGCATGGGATGGATCCCAAGTTAGGGCAGTCTCTGGATGGCCTTTCCTTCAGTCTGCTCCATTTTTCTGTCCCTGCATTTCCTTTGCACAGGAACAATTCTGAGTGAGATAACCCAGACCCAAAAGGACACACATTGTATGTACTGATAAGTGGATATTAGCCAAAAAGTTCAGAATACCTACGATACAACTCACAGACCATATGAAGTTTAACAAGAAGGAAGGCCCAAGTGTGGATGTTTCAATCCCACTTAGAAGGGGGAACAAAAGAATCACGGGAGACAGAAGGAGGGACCTAGGTGGGAGAGGGAAGAGGGAGGAGAAAGGGGGGCACAGGATCAGGCATGGGGGGGAAGTCAGGAGAGAAGCCCAGAGGACCAGGAGAATGAATAGAAATATGCAGCAGTGTGGGGTGGGGGACCAAGGAACCACTAGAAAGTCCCAGACACGAGGGAAGTGAGAAGTTCCCAGGATCCAATGGGGATGACATTAGCCAAAATTCCCAACAGTGGGGAAATGGAACCTGAAGAGATCACTTCCAATAGATAGGCATGGCCTTCAGTTGAAGGATGGGATGTATATCTTTGCTTTGCTAAGCTATGCTTGGCTTTTCAAGACAGAGGTGCAGCCCTGCCTGTCATAGAACTCAATCTATAGACCAGACTGGCCTTGAAATTGCAGAGATCCAACTGTCTCTGCCTCCTGAGTGCTGGGATTAAAGGTGTGTGCGAGCAGCAGCAGCTTGGTACCATTTCTCCTTTTCAAGATTTATTTATTTATTTTCTACATATGTGTGCCCTGTCTTCATGCACACCAGAAGAGGGCATCAGATTCCAGTACAGATGGTTGTGAGCCACCATGTGGTTGCTGGAAATTGAACTCAAGACCTTTGGAAGAGCAGCCTGCTCTTAACCACTGAGCCATCTCTAAAGCCCAGTACCATTTCTTAATGAAGTTAATTATGAACCCAACCTCTTGGGTGCTCCATTGTGCTCTACAGAAGCTAATGAGAAGTTAAAGAAGGAAAACCTGCCAAGTGATAGTGGTGCACACCTTTAATACCAGCACTCAGGAGGCAGAGGCAGACAGAACTTAAGTTCAAGACCAGTTTAGTCTACAGAGTATTCCTGGACAGTCAGAGCTACATAGAGAAACTCTGCCTTGAAAAACAAAAACAATCAAACAAACAAACAAAACAGAAGGAAAAGCCCCACCATGGCAGTGTGTAAAGAAAAAAACCTCTGATGCACCTAATCTGGCAGAGACTTGATGTATCAGGTAAGGGGGGAGGGGGTTCCACCTTCTCAGAAGAAAAGGGGGAGGGGAGACGAGGGAGGGACTCAGTGAGAGGGAACGGGGAGGGGGAGCAGCATTTGGCAAATAAACAAATTGATTAATTAAAATAAAAAAGAAAAGAAAAAGTAAACAGAAAAAAAACCTCTGGTTGAATGTCAGGTGTACAGCTCCTTTAGAATTACCTGGGCCCTAATTAGTCAGCAATCGCGTTCCATAAAGTGCATTCAAAATCTGCTACAGTGAAACCTTTTAGTTCTAAAGGAATTCTCCAAATGAAATGTCAAGTGCATAATGTAACATTTTTCTCTAGACCACGTTGCCCTGTTAAAAACTGCTGTATTGTTAATTAAACAGGTGTAATCGGTGTCTGAGATTCACATGTAACCTGCTAAAAATCCAAGAAAAGATTGTGAGCTTTATAGCAAGTGTGAAGTTGGGGGAGTGGAGGGGGTTCTTTACCCATCTTTTATTTTTAACCAGTTCTCTGGGGAGGGAAAAAAAAAGCCTGCCTTTGAATGCAGGGAAGAAAAGGTAAGAGCCAGGTTGAATGGGTGTGCGCAGAGTGGGCTCTGCCTACATCCTCTCCTGCATTCTCTGCCTAAAGGTTTTGGAAAGACCTCCACTGGGTAGGAGAAAATGAGAATTCCTGTATCCGCTGAAGGGATTAAGAGAGCAGTATTAACCCGACTCTCTCTGCTAGAGTCCTGCCCTGTAAGTTCCTTGAGGGTAGGACCTTGCAAGTGTGGCAGTGGCTGCCACAGGGGCTATATAGGCTGTACGGATGGCAACCATGCATTAGGAGGGAGCTGAGGGAGGCTCGGGCTGTGCTGTGTTTTCACGGGACTTGAAGGTACAGGTGTCCAAAAGGATGAAGGAAAGCTTGCTTCTTTGGCATGCCTAATGTTAAAATTAACCCTGTCCCGACTCTTCACAGCCCCACAGGAATAGCCTGCGTTGTCTTGTTGGTAGGAACAGCTTTCCTAGAAAAGGTAGTCTTTTTAAAGGCAAAAGGAAGTACAAGAGATGAGAACTCAAAAGAGCAAGCAAGCCATATCACTAAAGTGTTTTTCCACCATATTCAGATGCCAGAGCATTTAGTCGTTCATCTATTTCTTTCATACCAGAGGCGTATTGTTAAATTGGTTAATGGGAAGGAAAAATGTTTAAGAGATAATGTTATTCTTTATGAGAGGAACCATCTGTGTATGAGTCCTGAATGTCCCCGGATACGGAAGAGAGGAAGTGTTGTGGAATTTCACGTCTGTCTTCTTTGCTGTCTTTATCTTGGGTAGAGTATGGCAAACATAATCACATTTATCTCCCGGAGCATAAAGGGTTTTAATCACCCTATTAGCCAGGATGACATTTTTCACAGACTTAAAAAGGAATAGAGTAGACATTATCTCCCCACAAGCAATCTTTTCATGGAGACTGAGCACTAGAAATGCTTTAGAGGGGGACAACGAAGCCATTTCCATTCCCATCTAAGCCAACATTAAAGAGGCTTTCGGTAAGATGTGGCTTCCGCAGCGGGCGTGTTAAGCTTTATTCTTAGAACCGTAAGCCCACTGCTGTTGGAGAAAGCCACACTGAGAAAGCACGGTGGGCAGAGAGGAGCAGACCTCAGGTTTCTGAGAAAACAGCCTCTATCCACATAAGTCTGCCTGTTATACAACTCGTGCACTCAGACATTTTCAGACTCGAGACAAGCTCGGGAGGGAAAGTAGGGGGCGGGGCATAGCAACAGGGTTTCCAGGCATTGACCTAAAGAAACAAGGTTTCCAGTGGGACGGAGAATGAGCATCTGCCTCTAAGCCCAGCAGAGGCAAGGTGGATCACGGTGACTTCTGTCACCGTCCTCATCCCAGCTCCAAGGCTCACCACATTGAGAAGAGCTGAGCCTGTTCAGCCAACAGGAGCCTGGCACACCAAGGCTGTCTGACGGGTATTTGCCCTCATGATTAGTGTGGGCCAAACTCGCAAATTAATCCTTGCAACCTAAGAGGGAAGCAAAGAAATTAAGGAGGGGAGACCGAGACAAGAATAATTAAAATCCACTGAATGTAGCTATTTCACTTGGGGCAAAAATTTAATCTCTCCTAGGTTTTAATCAGAAGGCATGTTGTTTATATTCTCATTTTCAGCATTTCTTTGAAACAATGAGTGGGGCACAAGTAAAAAAGAAAAATTGTCAAATAGTTAAATTTCCCGAGAGACAATATAATACGTATTTTTAATAATATTTATCAAGGTCAGTTTAGGTGTTTCTCCTACCAGCCTACGTCTTTGCCTGATGCATTGTATCACTAATTTGCTCTATTAGTACACAGGAACCGCTGGGGCTCTTGCATCCTTAGGATTATTGAGGGTCGGGGGCGCTGTGAGTACCCAAGAGGAAGGCAAGCACCCCTCACCACAGCGCAAGAGTCAGTAACACTGAGGCCAGAGGAAATCCCACCCCATAGCAGATAACTCAGTCTGGGAGAAAATCCGAATGCATTACTAAGAAACATAGTTTCAGTATTAGGGGTGATTCAGAACCTTAACAAACCCTTTTTATGTAAGCTGGATCAAGTCCTTTGCC